CATTTACATAACATAGGACGAACATATATGGGAGCTATATGTGTCAAATATCATCCAGTTTGAATCATAAATGCGACCTGTACTTTGTTTACAATTTAACATGGACTGACATACGGACGGACGGACGAGCATAAATCGACTCAGAAAGTGATTATATGCATATTCTCAAAAGGCACCATGGGTCTATCTCGTTTCCTTTTGCCTGTTAGAAACATATGTACAAATACATAACACCCTGTACCAGAGTGTGGTGATGGGTATAAAAAGTCCAAGTCTCTACTTCTAAAATATTCCCTTCTACTTAAAAAATATTCGTCAAATAAGTTCACACGTCTTCTACAAAAACATTCCTTAAAAAGACCACATCTTTACCTGAAAAATATGCCTTAAAACGGCATCTATAATTCAAAAATATTCATTATTCTACTGCATAGATCCTTTCAAATATATTCCTTAATAAGTCCACGCCCCTACTTCTTAGATTTCTTCAAAAATATTCATTAAAAAGTCCACGCTCCTACTTCTTAGATTCCTTCAAAAATATTCCTTAAAAAGTCTACGCCCCTACTTCTTAGATTCCTTCAAAAATATTCCTTAAAAAGTCCACGCCCCTACTTCTTAGATTCCTTCAAAAATATTCCTTAAAAAGTCTATGCCCCTACTTCTTAGATTCCTTCAAAAATATTCCTTAAAAACTCCACGCCTCTACTTCATAGAGTCCTTTAAAAATATTCATTAAAAAGTCCATCCTAACAGTCTTCAAAAAATATTCCTCCAGCAGTCCACGCCTTTTCTTTTTAGAGTCCTTAAAAAAAATTCTACTTAAAAACATTGTTACAAAATTCCACGCCTCTATTTCCTAGAGTCCTTTAAAAATATTCCTTAAAAAGTCCACCCTTTTCTTCTTAGAGTTCTTTAAAAATGTCCCTACAGTCTTTCAAAAATATTCCTTAAAAAGTCTACATATCTTCTTCTCACAGCACTTTAAATATGTTCCGTAAACAGCCCACGCCTCTACCTTTAAAAAATACACGTCTATTTCTCATATAGTCTTTCAAAAACATTTCTTAAAAAGTCCACGCATCTATCTATATGTTCCGTAAACAGCCCATGCCTCTACCTTTAAAAAATACACGTCTATTTCTCATATAGTAGTATTTCAAAAACATTCCTTAAAAAGTCCACACATCTATCTTTTTACACACCCTACCTATTATGGTACTATCCTCTCTCCCTTATAATCCCGAAAAATATTCCTTTAAAACATGCATGCCTGTTACCCCTTCAGAATAGTCCTTTAAAATACTGTTTTATATTTTTAAAACAAGCACTTCTACCTTCTTCTATAGTACCTTAAAATATTCGTAAAAATCCAAGCATCTACCTCTTATAATCCGTCAGAAAAATAAATAAATACATAAATTAAAGTCTACACATCTAAATCTTATGAAATAATTAAAGTTTAAACACATAAAACATAACTAATGAGGAAAAGCCTATTCCACATCTAATGACCCAGTTATGAAAATATAACCCAAACTTGTAAGTTTTTCATATATATACCCATCCTAAACCTTACAATTGCTATTGTATTTGTAAATTTCAACGACATTGGAAGTTATTCAAGGTTTCCAAATGTTTTCTGGGAAATATGCCGACAAGTCATGCCTTGGAATGTAATGTACGGCTTAATGTCATAATTAAGTGAACTTGATACGCTACTACGTTCTTTCGTTCATTCTCTTCCGGGTTGATTGTTCTTTTCGACTGACAACAAGTAATAAAGAATTTTAATTTTTACGAGCACGACTGAGAAAATTATGTCAGACCATGTTTTTCATGTTGTTCGTGTCTCTTGTGGGTCTCTATATGAATTTAAAGTGTGTCATAAAAAATATTTGGCTATAAATCCGTCATCAAGTGTACAATGTTTTTGACAATAATTTTTTGAATGAATTTTCAATTTATCTCAAAGAAAATGTTGGCCTTGGTACGCACAAGTTCACAAACCAAAGGAAGGGTTATTAATGGAGTGGATTTTTTAGCGAATATTTTTCAAGGACTTGAGGATGGAAAGGATTTATTAAAGAATATATAAAGAAGAAGAAGAAGAAAACAATTTTAAGAATATGTTGGAAGGCATTTTTAAGAATATGTTGGAAGGGCTATAAGAGATAGAGGCGTGGATTTTTAGAGGTTAGAAGAAGAGTTCAATGTGTGATTTTTAAAGAATGTTCTTGAATGACTGTTAGGACTAGAGACGTGAATTTTAGTTAGATGCGTTGATTTTTAAATAATAGTTTGTGCTATAAGCGTAGAATTTTGACTATCAATTCTTTATAAAATAATAACATAACATTCCGATAGTTTTGTAAAAGCTTATTAATTGCATGCTTCTTATATATTGTAGTTAACAAATCCATATTTAGATTAATCACCATATCCAATGTTGAACCTGTTAATGATGTTATTTGCATATTTTATCTTTACTTGTTTCTAACCTTCTTCCATGCATTGAAAAAAAAAAAAAACATTTGATTCACCACAACCACCAACCACTACTATCAAAATAATATATCGATTAACAAAAAAACTTCCTCCCATCATGTTACCAACAAATAACCACTATAAACCTACCTTCATCTAAACTCGTCTCAAAATAACCAAAAACTAAATAAAAAACCACCCAAAACCAAATTCAAAACCCCGTAGTAAAAGTAATGGTTATGCGATCAATGGCACTTTACTACAACCTCCCGAAATTCTTTCACAGACTTCTAATTCAACAACTTCTGCTGCCGCCTCGCACACAACGTTGACGGCCAATGATTTGAGTAAAACTGAATTAAGGGCCACTTTACCACAGCAGCTACAACTACAGCAGCAAAATTCGGACGGTACCACTTTTGTATTCACATCACCCACCTCAACTTTTAAACGTAAAAAGCAACAACAATTGCTGCGAGAAGAAGAAGAACAATTGTTGAATAAACAGCAGCACGACGAGTTGCTGCTACACAACAATAATCTGACAAAAGGTGTCTATGCGGAAGGGCTAATAGGCAGTAGCGAGAGTGCAACAAACTTCAATGAAGATTACAACAAAGGAAGCCACAGCAATACAAGCCTTTTAAGACACTGGAACCAGGAACAGCAACAACAACATCAGCCACCGCCTATTCGTTATCAGCGTTACAACAAGCCAAATGATACAAAGACGGTGATAAATACTAGCACAGGTGTGATTATCACAGACAACGCCGGTGTTAACTACGCCTCATCGTCCACATCCTCTCTAATAGCTGGCGGAAACGGAACTATTGCGGAAAACGTTAACGGTAGTGCATTGAGTACACGTTCAACACGCCGCATCCATACATTACCCCTGTTGCCGGCCACAAAGGCAGCAACAACCACTGCCGGGCATTCTAAACTGCAACAACAATTGCCTACATCATTCATAGCGGATGGTGTAGTGGATTTAGTGCATGACACTAAATGTGCTGCAGGAAAGACGTCAACATCGCTTCTATCGTCATCATCTCCACCCACAGCACATCCCGCCAGTAGTAAAATCAATTCGAAATCTCTCAACTCGACAACGGCATCGTCTAAACGCAACCGCACCTCGGCCAATAATCTACGGCACAAGCAACAGCTTTCGTCTACAATGCAAGCGAGCAGTAGTGGTGGCAGTGGAACCACAACAACTGCCAAAGGTTTTAGCAATACTTCGAGTCTAGTCGATGACATTGAAATGAATTTGGGTTTGATTGGATGGCGAAAGAAATGCCTATACACCCTGCTGGTGCTGTTAATGTTGTTAATAATTGTCAATTTGGGTCTAACGCTGTGGATATTAAAGGTCATGGAATTCTCAACGGTAGGTAAAGATCATATTATTGTGTATGAAATAAGTTTTTTTTTACAAATAATTTAAATAAATATTTTATACCAAAACATTCCTTCAGAAGCATCAGAGATATAGACGTGGATTTTAAGATAATTTAAAAAATATATCTGGGCTATAGGATTTTAGAATTCCGGTAGTTCTTCGAAGAAGTACTAGAGCTGTGGGAGTAGATTCTATATAATAAGTTTCTCTAGAATTATCAGAGCTATTTGTATGTAAAAGTATTAAAAGACTACGAGTGACAATTTTTTGGTTTTTATACCCTACACAACTATGTTGTCAGGGTATTATAGCTTTGTGCAGCCCCAAATGTTTGTAACGCCGCGAAATATTGGTCCTAGACCCACCTTTAAGTATACCGATTGTCATATCTCGGCTAGCTGAGTCGATCTAGACATGTGTGTCCGTCCGTCCGTCCGTCCGTCCGTCCGTCTGTCCATTATAATTTGTAAACACGATACAGGCCACAGTTATGGACCAATCTTCACGAAATTTTGCATGTAGGATGGGTTCTGGCCAATGAAGACCCCTATTGTTTTTGGAAAAGATCGGTTAATATTTAGGGGATGAAATGGACCAAATACTAAATTTTTGTCGGTTTTTCTGGTCGCTCCAGAGGCCGCAATTATAGCCCAAACACCGCGAATTTTTGCATGGAGAAGGGGATCGGGTCAGAGAATAAGCGTGCATGTTTTGATAAAGATCGGTCAATATTTAGCGGGTCAAATGGACCCTGACTTTTGTGTGAAAAATGACAAAATTTGTATTCTATGGCATATATATTTACTCCTGGAGGAGTGGTTGACCTTTAAATTGATACCAAATATAGTGATGTATCTACTCAGATGTGGGAGTTACAGTCAAATATTTACATGTGCTTACGTATTCAGATATTATTTAGTAATCCATTACCACATTAAAGGGAGAAATATCGCGCTGATGGCTTTGAAATTTTTCATGAAGTTCCAGTTATGGTCAAGAACAACGCCTAAAATTTTCGGTGATGATCAGATTAAAATTTTGGGATGAAATGGACCGAAAACATAATTGTTTGTGTGTTTTCGAGTAGAGTATAATCCGAAAATCACAACACACCCACCGTGATGGTAATCTGGACAAGTAATTAGAAGGACTGTACAAGAGGGGGCTGTACAAGAGGGGGCAAATATCAGGAAATATTACTCAGACTCGGAATAAACATCATCAGAAAGTTAGAGTTCGTGGTAGTTGTGTAGGGTATCGTATGGTCGGCCCCGTCCGACTATACTGCTCCGCTCACTGGTTTGGTTATAGGAGTGGGTTGCATTATGTAATGTTATGTAATATAAGGGAGCAATATTTGCATCTGCACCTGCATTAAAAAAATATTCTAGGCTCGCAATATACGTAGATAATGGACACCAGATCATTATTTGGTGCATAATTAACTTACTTACTTAGTTGGCTTGTTACAGAATGGTTGTTCGATAAGCCGAGCTTAAAAAAAGATTTCCAAGCGTGTCGGTCTTTTGCGCAGTTCGGCAATGTTGTCTTCCACTTGATATTCATCATCAACTTCGCTTTTTATGCCTTTTGAGCTGATGCATCGCCTGACAATGCCGATGTCCGAAAATATATAGTACAACTCATGGTTCATTCGACGGCGATATTCACCGTCAACGCAGATCGGTGCATAGATCTTTCGGAGAATTTTTCTTTCACATCCTCTAAAGGCTGCCTCGTCTGTTGGCGTAAGTACCCATGTGTCAGATCCATATAACAGCACGGGCAGTAGAGTGTGAGTTTGTTCTGGCGGGAGGTGGCCTTGCTTTTGAGTTGTTTGCTCAGACCAAGTTGCATCTGTTGGACAACACTATCGTTATTTATGGCGGTACCGAGGTACATAAAATCTTTGACTACCTCGAAACTGTAGTTCACAAGTCCCACAGTTGGTCCGAGTCTACTGGACGTCTTGCGCGTTGATACCAACAGCTTGGTCTTTTTGCCGTTTACTGCCAGACCCACATTGGCAGGTCGCAATGTTCTACCAATTACAACGACGTCATCGGTGTAGGCAACATATGTTTTTTGGTGTACAGAGTGCCATTTTTCATCTCCTTTGCCTCTCGTTTGACCTTTTTCAGCACGATGTTAAAAATGTCACGCGAATAGTTCGGCTTGTAACCTATCGGCAGTTGCAGTTTTATTATTCTCCAGCTAATTGATTGCTATTCTGACCTCATCTGGCTAGGTGGTATACACTCTATTGGTACTGGGGTATCTTCTTCACCGTTATTATTTGATAAAAGAAGCTTTTCAAAATGCTCCTCCCAGATCCACAATGCACTATATGTAACTGTCACTAGGTTTCCTTCTTCATCTCTACAGAAGGATGTGTCTGCACAAAGCATTCGGTTTGGTATTTTACTCATTGGTAAAATTCTGAGTCCTGTACATTTCGATTTGCTCTATCTATCCCGATAATTCTTGTTCTATCTATCCCGATAATTCTCCATCGCATTACCTGTTGCTACTGTCTGTAGGGTTGCCCTATACGATGAGTTTTTGGCATCAGTAGCATTGCGACACTCCTGATCGTACCATGGGTTTCTTCTTTGTAATTATAATGATTACCTATCATTATAGGATAGGATTTTTTTTATATTAAAATATTTGTTATAAATAATGTATTGCCCCTAGCCAACAATCTTGAATATGATTTATAAAATACATATTATTCATTTAATATTCAGATTTAGATTCCCAATTTCTTGTTCAGCATAATTAGGTTTTTTTTTAAGTTAAAAAAAATTGTTTTTACCCTAATTAAGGTATTTCTTAAATATTTTTGCAAATCGCCCTTCAGGTCAAAAACATAACAAAGTCAAACATTCTTTTTTAAACTTGAAATAATTTTAGAATCAACATCTGAATATTGAATTAATTATATCTATTTTTTTTCCTTAAAGACCGAACTGAGTCTTCTACGTAATTTATCATGTGACCTTTACCAAATGACATTGATATTATTATACATATGTAACCTTTTTCCATCGTAATCACCATGTTAATAATTTACATTTTTTGCAATTTGGTTTTATTTTTCATAGGAAGGCATGGGCCAACTTAAAATTGTTCCTGGAGGCATACAACTTACTGGACAAGCTTTAATTATGGATATGTTAAGAGCCTCGTCGATACGTTCAAGGCATGGTCAACCATTATCTATAGGTAAGATGATAATGCAAGGACAAATTACAACAACAATTTCTTTAAATATTCATGATGTGAGAAAACTGAAACAACAACAATATACATGAACAAACAAATTGTCATAAATTACAAAATTATTGTTCATCATGGCTGGCTAATCATCATTATGTCTTACGGCAGCTTACCTAATTAATATTCAAAATTATACAAATTTCTCCTCTCCGATTTGTTACCCTTCACTTTTCACAAAATCTATATGACCATACCCAAGCCCAAAATATTTAATAGTTTATTTATCTATTTATTTATTCATTTTATGTTTATCTATCACAGATGCTGATTAGTCATTTACATTTTGATGGTAGATTTATGCATAAATCTCATGGATTTGTTTTACTGGGTTTGTGTGTGAGTGAGAGTGTGGGTTTGTGTGAATGAGTGATTATATCCTTATCTGTTCATTAGGATTTTTCTGGTTGTCATTTGAAAAGAAAGAGTATTTGTTTGTTTGTTTATTTAAGGGTTTTATGTGTAAATATATGAACGAGTGTGTGAAGACCGGATGTTTGCATAGATTTCTGATGATTTGTTGCAAGGCAATTTTGTTTTGAAAGTCATTGTTAAGATTTATTTTCATACACAAACATACATAAATATATTTTTTGTTATACTGATAAGTGACTGTGTTAAAATTTTGTGATTTTTATTCAAACATTAGTCTTACCAAAAACTATATTTACCTTGAGGTTATAATTTTGTTGATTCACATACAATGGCCAGTGTTTTTTAATCTCTATTATGTCGAAGTTAATGATGCAAAACTTTGACACATTTCATAGCCTGTGAAATATAATCAATATAACTACTATCTTCATCAAATGGCCAGGAAATGCCTGTCGAAATTGTTTCGTAATAATAACAAATTGACATCTGTTGCATAATAAATTTCCAAAATATTAGGTTTAAAAAAAAGTGTTGTCAAATACTGATGCTGATTAAAATTGATTGTTGGTTTGCTTAATTAGAGGATGGGTTTTTGAATTTAAGAAAGTGTAGTATACAGGCTTTTATTCTTATAATTTTTAGTTAGAAATGCAACCGGACACACTTGGCCCATTGTGGTCCATCTTGAGTACCCTAAAAGAAATACACAATAGTTTTCAATGTAATATTCAATGGTTTATTGATAGGTTGAGTAGTGGTAACAATATTACCTTTGGCATCGATTTGCCTGTGCCCAAACGATATTGCGTGGTGTCTGTCCGAATGTCAGAATGGTACTCCTTGATGCTTAAAGGAGGCGGCAAAACAAGTGACAACTAACTATTCGTAAAAACGTCAAAAGCGCTAACCCAAGGCTGCAATAAGCCGTAGCGCATTCATTTTAACGAATAATTGAAGACCACAACAGGGGTCAATAAAAAGTATTATTTTTATACAAATCTAAATTAAACACTATGATTTTTATTTGGAGAAGATTGTCAATGTATTATGGGTGAGATATATGTTTGATACGTTGACATTGAAAATTCAGAGCCCTGTGGATAAAAGATGTTGTTAGACAGCTGGGGTATCTGCAGATACCACAGAGAGTAGATTTCAACTTGCGAAGCACTATGTCGCGAGTTTATATTAACAGCGGACAAAATTAGAAGGAGTTATCGTAGGTGGATGGAATTTTGACCTGAAAAGCAAATGACAAAAAAATGGATATTTATATCGCTACAAATGGTCTCGAAAATTTCACTCTTTTGCCTATATAATATTTAAAAATGAATCATATTCCATGAAACTTGGCAGATTACATATACTTACGTCTAAAAACTGACGAAAAACTGCATGTATCGGACCAAGATTTGATATGCCTCTCATACAATGAGTCTATCATACTAAAGGACCCTAAAAAAGTAACATTCTATACTATAAAACCGTTATATTAAATGTCTGTTTAAAACTATAAAATTCACGGCAGTTGTTCTATTTATACCTTTAAGCACACTGTGGTACATAATGCATATGTTTGTAAGAGACATAAAGAAACGAGATAGAGAGAATATGCATAGAATCACTTTTTGAATCGATTTATTCATGTCCGTCCATTCGTATGTCCATGTATTTTTGTGAACAAAGTACAGGTCGCATTTATGATCCGATTTGGATGAAAATGGCACATGTCATTTATTTGGCCCAAGGACGAACCCTATTGATATTGAAGAAAATCGGTTCAGATTCAGATATAGCTCCCATATATATTTTCGTCCGATTTTATCTCAATGGTGCACCAAACTCCCAATATTGGTTCGATTGAAACAACATTTGTATTAAATCAGACGAAAGTATATATATCTACATCTGAACCGATTTTCACGAAACTTAACACTTATCATTCTAGACTTAATTCAGTACGATATGCCAAATTGCATGCAAATCGAAAGATATGTAGGGACTTTGGGGCACCATTTACATTAAATCGGACGACCATGAATGTGAACCGATTTTCACGAAACTTAAAACTCATCGTTCTTGATTTAATTCATTACGCAAAGCCGCATTTCGTGCAAATCGAAAGTTATATATTGACTTTGGTACACCATTTTCATTAAATCGGACGAAAATATATATGGGAGCTATATCTAATTCTGAACCGATTTCCATGGACTTAACACACATCATTCAAATTCATTACGCTGTGTCAAAGTTCGTGCAAATCGAAAGACTTTGGTGCACCATTTACAATAAATCTGGCGAAAATATATATATTGGAGCTATATCTAGACTTGAACCGATTTTTCAAAATTTCAATAGGGTTCGTCGTCTTAGGCCAAATAAGGGACATATGCCATCATAAATGCGACCTGTACTTTGTTTACAATTTAACGTGGACAGACGGACGGAGATGCTATGCATATTCTCAAAAAGAACCATATGTATATCTCGTTACCTTTTGCCTGTTACAAACACATGCACAAAGACATAATACCCTGTACCACAGTGTGGTGAAGGTTATAACAAATCCGCAGATGTTATATATTATTTGTGTCCTAACAGAATTATCTATTATTTAAGATTTGGGGTTCTCAACACATAATTTTTATACCCTGTCTTTGTGCATATGTTTATACCCTTCACCACACTGTGGTACAGGGTATTATGTCTTTGTGCATATGTTTGTAACAGGCAAAAGGAAACGAGATAGACACATGGTTCCTTTTGAGAATATGCATAGAATCACTTTCTAAGTCGATTTATGCATGTCCGCCCGTCCGTCTGTCTGTCCGTGTATTTTTGTGAGCAAAGTACAGGTCGCATTTATGATCCGAATTGGATGAAATTTGGCACAGCTCATTTGTTTGGCCCAAGGACAAACCCTATTGAAATTGGGAAAAATCGGTTCAGATTTAGATATAGCTCCCATATATATATTTAACCGATTTAATGTAAACGGTCCCTATATATCTTTCGATTTGCACGAAATTTGGTACAGCCTAATCATTTAGGTCTAGAATGATATCTGCCAAGTTTCGAGCAAATCGATCCAGATTTCTATATAGCTCCCATATATAGTTTCGTCCGATTTCATGTAAATGATGCACCAAAGTCGATATATATCTTTCGATTCGCACGAAATTTGGCATAACGTACTGAATTGCGCCTAGAGTGATGTCTGCCAAATTTCGTGAAAATCGGTCCAGATTTAGATATAGCTCCCATATATAGTTTCGTACGATTTCATGTAAATGGTGCACCAAAGTCGCTAAATATCTTTCTATTTGCACGAAATTTGGCATAACGTACTGAATTGAGTCTAAAATGAATGTCTGCCAAGTTTCGAGAAAACCGGTCCAGATTTCTATATAGCTCCCATATATAGTTTCGTCCGATTTCATGTAAATGGTTCACCAAAGTCTCTATATATATTTCTATTTGCACGAAATTTGGCATAACGTACTGAAAATCGGTCCAGATTTAGATATAGCTCCTTTTTATTATAGATTGATTATAAGTAATTGACGCACCAAGGATCCAATAGGATGTTAGGAACAAAACGTTCTGAAATTAGTATAACCTAACCTGTGACAAGTTTGTTTGAAATCGCTTAATATTTGGATAGAGCTTCCATATATATTTTCGCCCGATTTCAAGTAAATTGGGCATCAAACTCCTCATGTTAGTCAGATTGACATCAAAGTTTGCACAACTTACAAAATTGAACATAGAATTACGTAGTTGCGTTTTCTAGAAGTACAGACATAGCCCAACGGATGACCTATTTATATTTGTTTGAAGTCGATTTACATACTTTATGGATAGATCTAGGTAGATTCATATTTAGATAAATATCACATATTTTATTACATCCAATTTTTAATAGTCCTGTTTAATATACCCATAGTGGTGAAGGGTATCATATAGTCGGCCCCGTCCGACTTTACTTCTTTCCTTACTGGTTTAATAATTGTAAATATAGTTCTAAGTATTTGGTATCTGGAATGTCCTGGTCACCTTTTCCAACCGAATTCACATTATTTAGCACAATGGTTTATTACAAGATAAACCCTTCTTCTTCGCTTCTTCCTCATGGTGGATCTGTCTCGATTTTATTTCCTGATTTTCCTGAGTAAGATCACTGACCAAGGAAAAAAGGTCAGCAATTTTAGGCTTTAGTTTTTTAATATTTCTTACCAACTCTTTTATTTTCCTAAGTCCTATCAAAAGTCAAATGTAAACACCACACATTTGATCAAATTTATTCGCCGTTCCATCGAAATGTTTCTATATTTCTAAACAATTTTTCGACAGATCATTTTCCTTTAAATTTCGTTTGTTACATTATTTTTGTAAGGCATTCCACGATATACACCTTGTCTCGTTACAATCTGGGGATAAGATGTCACCTGTGGTTGTGTTTGTGTGGTATTTGGTTTTTGGTGTTTTGCACGTGAATATATGTGGTGAGATGCTTTAGAGGTTTTATCTTCATTTCATCCGGACACATGTTCACTGCGACCCGAACAAATGCGACTGAGGGTAATATTTTAAGATTAGTTATTTTTGATAAATCAACCAAAGAAAAAAATGTCAGCGTTAACAACGGAAATAGAATTTGCTATCCCATACATCATTGCATATAATTCGCTACGACGAGGACGTTGTCTTTTCCACCAGTTTTGGTAACCAGACTCTCCACACCCCTCCAACCCGCAGTTTCATTTTGTGGTTTTGTCTTCTTATCATTTCGTGTTGTGTCTTCTGTTGCCATTTTCAGGTTCGAGATTTCATTCCGGTGTCATTTTCACTCTTGTGAAATACTACTCATGTACGAATTACATCTATCATTGAAGTTTATCTGAAATTGTGCATCTCCCACACACACTCACCCACAACTCCTACCTCAACTTCAGTAGGAAATTTGCCGTATATTCAACATTTGGAGAATATTCGTTGCGAATGTGATTTCGAGGTTTTTGAGGTTCATGGTCGTTGGATATTTTTGTGAAGTGATTTATTGCCATCAGTGTATGGTATTGGTATGGTCGAATATTTATGCGTTGAGTTGATGAATGATGTGGAACATTTGTTTATGGCAATTTGATTTTGTGTAAAATCGTCGCAAAAAAACTGAAAAAAAATTAAGCACAATTTGAGATTTATTTCGCAATGATTCCTATCATAAGTGTAAGTGTTCAGTGTGCACTTACTTAAATACATATAGGTATCAATCAGTGTTGACGACTGATATATAACCTCAGCCTATGGTTTGGAGGGTCTGCGGAAGTATTTTCGATGTGGAACATTTTTTATTTCATGCCAAAAATTTAACCTTTAAGATATTTTTTTGGAAAATATATGTTCACCCTCCAAAAACCACGAATGCCAAATTACAGACACTTAAGTGTTGCGTTGCAATCAATTGCAATTTTTCGGCAATAATGTCTTTCGTCCCTCCTTAAACTTGTAATATCAAAACCCTAAGACAGATGGACGCACATGTCTAAATCGAAATATATTTCTTCAAGATTTGATATACTTTATGGGATCTCCGACGAATATTTTGAAGTGGAAACGGAATGACAAATCTAAGATACACTCTACGTTATGGCGGAGTTGTATATTTGTATATATAACTTGAAGAGCCTTTGGACCTATGTTGAATTTTGGCTTTTCATTCTAAGAATATAATCTTTATTAAGTAATTTTATTTTAATATTGTATAATAATAACGCTCCTAAATATTACATTGCATATACTGTTTCATTTCAATTTCAATTTCAACAAAAATACCTGACTGTAAACATAATGCTTGTATCTTGACTTTGAATTTAGTGTGCTATACTTATATCTTCTACTTTTGTTTATTTTTTCGTTTCATGTTTATTTATTCCACTTTAACAGAAACATCACGTAATTTTTCAATCAATACACGCGGCGTCGATGGTCTGCTCGAAAATCATTTATTTCTGGGACACGATAAGCTCGAATGCATGGCGACATCATTTCGCATCAACGATACAAACGGAAGAAATTTATTTTCCGTTAATCGAGATGAAGTCACAATCGGTGCTCACGCTTTGCGTGTGGACGGTGAAGGTGGTGCAATATTTCGTGAATCGATACAGACACCGCATGTACGTGCTGAACCTGGACGTGAATTAAGGTAAGTCAATATAATTTCTCTGTTTTTGTTGTGAGTATATTTATTTATGGTTTGTTGTTGCTGTAGTTTTATTTCCTTTAAAGTTTTTGTAGGAAAATAGGGAAGGATGAAACTATTTTTTGTTATGACATTTAAAGGGTCAGGGTTAGAAGTTGTCAAGGGTATTTTGGCAATAATGTGTAATTGAATTAAATATATGAGGTACAAAAGTGGATTTAGCAAAATAGCAAAATTGATTTGAAGTGTTGACGTACACATGGATAATGAATAAATCAAGGGAGAAACTTCGCAAAGGTATAATTGTCGATATTTAACGACATACCATGACATTTTATGTACCAAAAGATGGAGGTATCATTGGACATTTTTCTGTTTATTCTCATTGGATCCTGCCTATACTCTCACACCATGTGGTTTGTATTCCGGATTTATTACAGAATTTATTTATTGTAAATCTTCTGCATGGAGGTTGCTTCGAAAACTGGTCAAGGAACTATACCAGACCATTGTCCAGGTCTGTTAAAAACATGGACCTAGATAGGAAAATTACCTCCACCTCGGTGGAGAAATTCGGCTTTGGGCTCTTTTTCGTCGATTTCGTGATCCTTGAGAATTTCATTCAAGCGTCATTCTAGCTACACTATGGACATTTTTTCATAGAGTGTAACAAATCCATATCCATTTCCTAGGTTTGATCTGCTTTTGCATGACGCAATAACGTCATTCAAGTCTTAATTTGATACGTTGTGCAAAATTGGTGTTAATCGGACCAACATCGAGAATCGAGATAAACCCATAGTTCCTTTTAAGAATATGCATAGAATCACTTTCTGAGTCGATTTACGCATGTCCGTCCGTACGTCCATGTATTTTTGTTAACAAAGTGCAGGTCGCATTTATGATCCGATTTGGATGAAATTTGGCACAGTTCAATTATTTGGCCCAAGGACGAACTCTATTGAAATTGGAGAAAATTGGTTGAGATTTAGATATAGCTCCCATATATAGTTTCGTCTGATTTTATGTAAATGATGCACCAAATACCCAATATTTGTCCGATTGGGACAACATTTTTCACAGAGTTCTGAATTAGGTCCAGACTGATGTCTGCGAAGTTTAGTTAAAATCGGTTCATATTTAGATATAGCTCCCATATATAGTTTCGTCCGATTTTTATGCGAATGATGCACCAAACTCCCAATATTTGCCGATTGGGTCAAAATTCTGCACAGAGTATTGAATGAGGCGCAGACTGATTTCTGCGAAGTTTTGTTAAAATCGGTTCAGATTTAGACATAGCTCCCACATATAGTTTCGTCCGATTTTTTGTGAAGGATACACCAAACTCCCAATATTTGTCCGATTGGGACACAATTTTGTACAGAGTATTGCAATAGATCCAGACTTATGTGTATGTAAATCGGTTTAGATTTAGATATAGCTCCCTTATATAGTTTCGTCCGATTTTATGTGAATGATGCACCAAACTCGCAATATTTGCCTGATTGAGTAAAATTGTGCATAGCGAATGCTATTGAGGAAAAATTGATGCGGGATAAAGTTTGTTGAAATCGGTTCAGATTTTGTTATGGGTCTTATATATGTTTTCGTTCGATTTTATGTAAATGGTGGTTACACGAAATTTGGCAGAGGGTATTACGTATGAATATAGTGATTATAAAAAACAAATGGTGTATGCAACGGTTACTCAATTAGGCCCATCGGTTTATATATAGCTGCCATACATAATTTGACTCGATTTCATACAAATGGTACAACAAAGAATCCAAGTCTGCCCGTTTGACATGCAATTTTTCATTGACTTCAGAATGGTATGTGTATAGGGTTTCCAATTGATTCAAATATTTATCTAGATAGCACATTTAATTTTGCCCGAATTCATCTCAATGGTCCTCCAAAGATTCTATGACCGTTCTATCTATAGGATATTAGAGATATTAACATGTCATGTATGTACTCAAAGTGGTGAAGGGTATCATATAGTCGGCCCCGTCCGACTTTTAAAATTTCCTCACTGTTTTTTTTTTTTAATTACAGTCATTTCGGCGTGAAGGGGTTTTTAATCTTAAAATAACTCAAATAGCATGGAACCTTTATATGGGGGATATGTTCAAACATAGACCTATGTAGTCCGCATAAATATATCCTAACTTACCAGAACCCAGGGAATGAGCCTAAACCTTTCAAAATAAAGACGAATATGAGGACTATGTGTAAACCATCACCGTGACAATTTTCTTCAAAACCCCACAAAAACCGGTATTAATACTTTTTAGTGGCACGCCATTAAAATCAAAAGTTTCAAAATATAGTCAATTTGATAGAAAAACGTGCCCGACGTCCCCAAATTTCCGTTCTCTACGGACTACCCCGAAACATAAAGCCACATTGATAATTTTTGGTAAGAAATTTTTTACCTAATGAGAATCCCAAATATCAAATTACAGTCAATTCTACTAATTTCTGGTATCAAAAGCTTTGTATGAATTGTTCTATTATGTCTCTAGGGTGTTGGCCTGCTTATATTTGGTTCGAAGCCAGATTGTTCATTTTTCAGAATTTTTTCAAGTATTTTGTATGTATATGGTGCTGAGCAGGATTATTCCTCTCCAGTTGTCGCAATCTTTCAAGTCGCCATTTTTTGGTAACGTCACAACCTCCCAAGCAAATATGATGTGCGGTGATGTGCCAAAATTGGGATGATTTGCTTTTATGGAGCTATGTGAAAACATGGGCCTATACTGCTCATACTTTTTAATTTATTTGACCCGTTATTTTGATTTTTCCACCACTGATTGTCGACCTTCTTCCAAATATCAAAAATATGACGATACCTTTAAATGGTTACAGTGTGAAAATATGGACATATATGGACCATTTTCGAAAATATTGTGACCTTTATGGTGATTTCCAGGGACAGACAGACAGACGGACATAGCTAAATTGGCACATATTAAAAATAATATGTTCTCCACCTTTTGGTGGACATTGAATTAGTATATAGGAAATTAATAAATGGATTTTTTGTGTAGGCATTTCAAATCGAAATACAAATTTATATGGACGAAACCACAGTATTTAGCTGTAATTTTTTAAGGCAGAATAGGCTTTTAAAATATCTAAAATCTTCGCACAATGTTCCGCCACACTGTCTCAGATAATACAGACTTCCTTAGAACTGAGAGCGGTCAAACAATTTAAATATTTATTAACATAACATAGACAACAAAATAAATAGTTTTGTTTAAATGGCATTTCAATTCATCAGACAATTCTATATAAAAATGTCTGGAAAAAATAAAAAACCTTTATTTCCGTACCCTGTTTTTACGGCAATGATAGTCTACATAAATAAAGCAACAACGAGTACAACAAGCAATATGCATTAAATAAACACTTATTAATTCATGTTGAACAGAAAAAAAATGTGTTTATGGAATGTGGAACAGTAGCGGGTGGACGACGACGACGACAACAAACAAGGAAGCCAACAAACAAATCTGAACAACAGTATGTCTACCATCTGTAATGGACTTTTCTGCTGAACCTATTTTCCTCCAAACTTATCCGAAGCTACCGATTCAAATGATTCAGTCTGTACCTATTTTATGCACCATCAATGAATGAATGGGAATATCTTGTCCGACAGGTTTGTTAGTGTTTCTCTGTTGTATGACATGCAATGTTTGTTTTGTTGTTTACAACAGTCAGTCAGTAAGCTAGCCAGCCATCCATTCAGTCATCCTTCCATTTAACCTGACCACTCAGAGGAGAGAGAGAGAGGAGTACACATCCCTCTCTCACTAGGTTTAATGCCTTTTCAATGGGATATATTCCGACACATTTCAAAAGTGCATGTAACTGAATTTGTATGCAGGTGTGGTTGTTTGTGAGTGTTTTTGGGTGTAAATGCATGCATACACATGAAATATAGAGTTTATTAAAAAGTGCTCAAAGGATTTAAGTGACAAATATGGATTGTATTTGTTTACACGTTCTTCTGAGTGAATGAAAGCCATTTTCCCCAACATCTTTCCCCCTGTTTCCAATTTAAATGAATGAATGAACTTTATGAACAGATATGCAAAAGGTGGATAGATCTATGGAAATGTTACTAACTTAATATGATACGGAATGCACTAATCACTATATGGTACTTAGATTATGAAACACATATTTTGTGTGTGTTTGTTTTTTTATCAAGGAGTTGATCATCTGTGTGGGGGACCAGAAGAGATTTAGACTTCAGACCCCCGGGGTCAATTCAATCTATTAAAAATCGATTATTTAATATGTTTCAAATTAAAATTGTGGGGGAGGTACTTCATTATCTTAATATTGTATTAAAATTGTCGTATGTAAGTTAAACAATTTGCGATTTTCAAAGTTTCCATGAAATTGGATATTCCGTTCGCTTCATATGCAGCAGTCAATCGGAAAGACGGACGGATTTTTGTAAGCAGACTCCAATTGTCTGAAACGGATTTGGTTCAACGTATGGGGTCTAAAACCAATACTTCGATGAGTCAAAGACAGAAAGGAAAGTTCAAAAGTCGATCTGGTCCGACTATATGATACCCCTCACCACTTTGGGTACAGTTGGAGGACCATTGAAATGGAATCAGACGAAATTAACTCTGAGTAGAATTTATTAAATGAAAACATACACATACCAATATGAAAATTATAAAAAATTGAATGTTAATCATTTGTATGAAATCGAGCTAAAAATGTGTGAGAGCTATTTGAGAACAAAGGCCATTTGCACCATTTGCATAAAATCGGGCATAAATGTATAAGGGAGCCTATAAAACAGGATCTATGGTGCACCATATATAATTATATAATATACATAGTATATATGTGTGCTATATTTAAATCTGCACCGATTTCAAACTCAACAAAAATATTCTAGGCTAAATTTCATACACGCTGCTAAATTTCGTGAATATAGAACAAACATAGACTACTCAGTTTAGTTCAGTTTACATACAATCAGACAAAAATATATATGGCAGCTATATTTAAATCTGAACCGGTTTCAACAAAATTTCGCGAATGTGAAACTGCAGTAATTTGAATACGCTATACAAACTTTTGTCTCAATCGAACAAACACTGACAGTATTGTACACCGTTTACATATAATCGGACGAAACTATATATGGGAGCCAGGGAGGTACGTAGGGCCCCCCCCCCAAATGAATTTTTTTCACAGTAAATTTATGTTTGCAAAAGCGATTTTTTTTAATTTTGTACTATCGGGCCCCCCCTCGAAATGAAATCCAGTGTACGTTGCTGATGGGAGCTATATCGAAATCTTAACCGATTCCAACAAAATTTCGCATAAATCATTTAGAACCTAATTCAGTACTCTGTTAAAAATTTTGTCTCAATCGGACCAATATAGGGAGTTTGGTGCACCATTTACATAAAATCGGACGAAACTATATATAGGAGCTATATCTAAATCAATACCAATTCCAACAAAACTTCGCATACATCAATCTGAACATAATTCAGTAATCTGTGCCCAATTTTGTCTCAATAGGACAAACATTAGCAGTATGGTTATCCATTTACATTAAATGGGACGAAAATATATATGAGAGCTAATCTAAATATGAAATGATTCTAACAAAAATTGGCATATATCACTTAGGACCTAATTCAGTACTCTGTTGAAAATTTTGTCTCAATAGGACCAATATTGGGAGTTCGACGCACCATTTACATAAAATCGGACGAAAATATATATGGGAGCTAAATCTAAATCTGAACCGATTTCAGCAGAACGTCGCATATATCAATTAGGATATAATTCAGTACTCTGTTAAAAATTGTGTCTCAGTCGAACCAATATAGGGAGTTTGGTACACCATTTACATAAAATAAGACGAAAATATATATGGGATCTATATCTAAATCTGAACCGATTTTCCAGCTAGGGTTCGTCCGTGGGCCAAATAAGTGGCCTGTACCAAATGCGGCCTGTACTTCACAAAAATACATGGACAGACAGACGGACATGCATATATGGACTCAGAAAGTGATTCCATACATATTCTCAAAAGTTTAGGGCAATATTATTATGCAGTTTTTAAGTCCACAAAATTTCGATGTTCGATCTAGCTTTTTTTGGTCTATATTGCTAGGGAGTACTGTGGAAAACTATAAAACCATTTGAATGTTAAATATTTGAATTTTCAACATTAGGTCAGAAATATATGGTAGTCCCCCAATAACATTGATTTAATTCCGTATATTTTGATATATAGTACAAGAGTACTAATCGTCTACTTTCCTATTTAACTAAAACACTTCCTTTGATTTGTAGATTGGAATCACCTACGCGACAACTGGAAATGAAAGCTGCTCAGGAAATAAATTTACAATCACGTGCCGGAGGTATTGAAATATCCGCTTTGGAGGATATCAAACTAACTACAATAGAAGGCAGTGTAAGTATAAATAATATTTGTAAAACAAAGTAATTTATATAAGGATTACAAATTCGAGAGGAAAATCCAGAAACGAAAGTTTTTCGAATTAAACATAATCCAATTTTTCCCAATACGATTTATGACATTAGAGGTTTCCTATATATTTACATAGCCCTTGATACTAACTCTTACCTGAAATAAATCATTGAAGTCTTGCGCTTTGAGTTTCCTCCTCTTCATACACTTTTATAAGAAATATTACCATTTTCCTATTCTCCACCTTTATAAACATTTTCTCCTCTCTTTTTGTCATTCTATCTTTTTCATTATAGTTGCGCTTTGAATCGTCAAAAATCTTTATGCCAAATCTGCGAACAGTCCCATCAATACAGGGACAACCACAAAAAGATCACACGCATCGTGTCTTTCAACTTTGTGCCTGTTCCAGTGGTAAACTCTTTTTGGCAAGTTCACATTCATCGTGTGCTGGTGATGACAGCACGGTTTGTAGATGATTGAAGGAAGATACCATCAAAGGACAATAACTCAAAACGTAAAAACCGTAAACACATATATTGAAATGAAGAAGCAAAAGAAAACAGAAACATAAAACAAATCATAGAAATAATAATGAATCATAAGAACTGACAATGCGCCTGATGCAGGGGTTTTTAGGTAATTAATAAATGTTAAGGTAAATAAAAAAAGAAAACCAAAGTAAAGAAGAAAAAACAGAATAATTATAGTAAGTAAGTAGTTTTTGTAAGCAACAAAAAAATTATGTAAATTATTAAAATATAATATTATAACTAATAGAAAATAGAAAATGTTGATATATTCTAATGGAACCGTAGGAAATTGTTTTCCAAATGTAAATGGTTAAACGTCGCATAATGACAACGATAATAAATGTTTATAGCTTTGTAATATTTTGATTTTAATTTTAACTATTGGAAAGTTATGTTTTAAAAAGTTGAAGCTAGACTTCATTTACATTTTGTATATGCTTATCATTTGGCGACTGTTCCGCTTGATGAACGTAAGGCGATCACTTCAGATTATTGCGTCGCAATGCAAGCTTTCACGCCTCAGCCTCAGATCAGCGCACTATGGCCGACCAAAATGTCGCATTTATACCTTCGTTGGGCTCATCGAACACCAAAATCCTCTAGTCTTGTTAGTGATAAAATGGTACCACCTTGCCCATTTCCCAGACTAACTTAATTTACGTAGCTGTTTTGTGACAAAATATTTGTTCCATAAGCCGAGCTTAAAACAGATTTTCATGTGCAACGGTCTCGCGGGCAGCTTTAATAATTGTGCCAAGATGTTCTCTTCCATTTGATCTTTCAATCTAATTTGTGGCCTTCCTCTTCTGTGTGAACCATCAGTAGGCTCATTTCTATATGCCTTTTCAGCTGGGCATTCTCATTTACTCGCACAACATGGCCTATCCACCGTAGTCGCTGCAGCTCAATATGTCCGCATATATATTGTAAAGCGCAAGGTTCATTCGACGCCGATATTCATCGTCGACGCAGATCGGCCCACGCTTCAGATCCATATAACAGCACGGGTAGTATCAGCGTATTGTAGAGTGTGTGTTTGGTCTGGCGGGATGGGGCTTATTTCTAAAATGCTTGTCCTTCCCTGAATTTCAAAACTGATGTCATTAGTTTTATTTATGGCGGTACAGAGTTATATACAATCGTTCACTACATAGAAGCTGTAGTTTTCAATTTCCAGAGTATGTCCCAGTCTACTGGACGTCTTGCGCGTTGATACCATCATCTTGGTCTTCTCGCCATTTACTGCCAGATAAACTGTCACCTTTTCTAAATCCTCGTTGCGTAATGAAGGGCTCCGAAATGCCTTTTTCGACTTTAACTGCTGACCTTGAGCCACTTAAAGTTATCCTGCATAGCCGTATTAATTTTGCAGGAATGCCGAACGCAGATATGGCTTTAAACACCTCTGAAGGGATATGTCTGTCGAATGCGGCTTTATAGTCGACGAACAGGTGGTATGTGTTCTTCGTGGGTCTTTTCCAGGAGTTGTCGCAGAGTGAAAATCTGGTCAATGGTAGATTTGCCAGGCCTGAAGTCGCCTTGGTATGGTCCAATAATGTTATTTATTTACCATAGCATTTTATATGCCATGGGAAGGAGACTTATACCTCTATAGTTGGCACATATCGTCTTGTCTCCTTTTTTGTGCTCGGGAAACAGGATGACAGGATTCCTCCAGGTAATTCTACTAATCAGCTGGTGCATGCTCCTGATTAGCATCTGACCACCGGTCTTGAATAGTTCGGCTGGTAATCCATCGACACCTGCTGTTTATTTATGTGTTTGTTCTTCAACCGATCAATTGCTACTCTGGCCTCATCTTGGACAGGTGGTAATCTCTCTACACCGTCATCTCTTATTGATTCTGTGGGATTTTCTTCACCGCCACTATTCGATACCAGCAGTTTTTCAAAATGCTCCTTCCAGATCCTGAACACACTATCTGTATCTGTCTCCATGTTTCCATCTTCATCTCTAAAGGTGGATGTGCATGCACTAATACCTTCGATTTGTTGTTTTACTCATTGGTAAAATTTCCGGACTTCATACTGACTCCTGTGCACCTCGATTTGCTCACGCTGACGTTTTTCTTGTTCTTTCTTTTTTCAGAAAATACGTTTCTCCTCTTTCCTTTTCTCCCGATATTTCTCCTACACATTACATTTTGCTACTGTCTGCAGGGTTGTCCTATACCCTGCGCTTTTCACATCAGTAACATTACGATACTCCTGATCGTGCCATTTGTTTCTTGATGGTGGCTTTTTGGTAGCCAATTGTTGTTTTTTCTGCAGTTTGTGTTTCTATATTATTATCGGGTCAAAGAGTGCTTTGGTCAAGATTGTGGGTAAATTGTTTGTGATCAAAGAAACGTAATTATTTTTGATGGCGGGCATGATAACTCCTCACTGGAACATCGAAATCCGAAAATGCAAACGGTGTTAGAAAGAGTACTTGTCTGGCTCTCGTATGAACTATGATTATTGTCTTCGCACAAAAATTAACAAAATGGCGGAACTTTGAAAAATTATTTTTGGAAAAACGCCTATTTTTGACCACAAACTAGGTTAAAAATAACGAAGATCTTCACCGATTGGCTTTATCCTAATTCATACGAGATCTATATACTCCCAGAGAAACGTGTCAAAATTTGGGACCGATTGGATTTTTAGTTTTTGAGTTATCGTGCCCGCCATTCGCTTCGAGAAAAATGCGTTTAAAGTTTGAGAATCACTCTTGCAGTCCCTTGATGTTAACACAATAAATCGGCTATATCTTCAAGAGTTCTTGAGATTTTCACTTGAAATTTTGTAGGGACATTCTAGAATTAGAGTAAATTCGAATTAAATCAAAAAAAAGTGTTGACACCGAGAATGGGGGGTCCCCTTAAGCCAGTCCCGTCCCATCACATTTCCTTTAAGGCAATAACATGGGCTTTGTACCTCCTGAGTACATCCGCCAACTGCGAAAACGTGCGCACATTCCAAGTGCAGATTCTCCGATCGTGGCTCTTTATACGTTTGCCGGGGTCATCAACATTAGGGGGTCTGGTTTCCAGTTTCGTTGCTTTTTTATAGTAGTGGGATTTTCCGAGTGTGGGCAACTAACCCGACGCCTCAACCCGTTCTCGCGGCAATATCATCTCACTATTTCAACGGGCGATGAAAATAGCTACCCCAGGTAACACCGCGAGAAGGTCAGTGTCCACAATTGAGAAAAAAAGAGGGACCATGATAAGCCTGAGCTTCGCCATGTTAAAGCCAATCAGAACCATTGTTTGGTATCTATCATACCTTACGCAGGCTAATTTCCTATCAGGTAACACCGCGAGAAGGTCAGTGCCCACAATTGAGAAAAAGAGGGACCATGATAAGCCTGAGCTTCGCCATGTTAAAGCCAATCAGAACCATTGCTTGGTATATATCATACCTTACGCAGGCTAATTTCCTATCAACACTGACGACACAACACAATTTCACATCGACAGTCCGTATCACATCGACGTAATGTCATCGTCCCATCTAGCCTTAATTATTCATTGGCCAATATTGCAAGGTTTTTTATACGTCTGACAGAAACAGATTTTCATCAAGTCCACAAAAATTTCCTAAATGAAATCTAGCCTGTGTAGCAATTAATATTCAGCAAAAAGTGCATCACCAAAACACAAAGTGATCCAATGTAACTTCAATCAATTAAACAATTTTGTCTATTTGTTATTGTTTATTTCTAATTGTTTTATTATTGTTAATAACCTACCTAAAAATTTCAATGTGAATGCATATTTATACATCAAATGTATGTAAATAATAATAATGGGAAAAGTGTGCAATTTATTTACAAATTAGTTGTTGATTTAGAATACACAATTAACACAAATATAAATATTAAAATAACAATTATAGTAATAATAACAACAATAAAAATAATCGTAATACAATGGCATGGAAATTTATATCAAAAAATCAAATGTTACAAACAACAATAAGTGTCCATTACAGCAAAAACAGAAAATTATCAGACATAAAAAGTCAAATATACATACATAAATATATAAATATAGTTTGAATACTAGAACAACAACAACAACAATTGATACTCATGCAATGAAATGATAGAATAAAATATTATGAAAAATAGTAATAAATATAATAACTAAATATATAAATCGTACGTATGTATTGAATTGTATAATTGTAAATTTAAATGGTTTATAACGGGATTAAAAAGAAGTTACATTTAAAAAATAACACGTTAACGTGTGGTTTAACTAAAGATTATTGAACTATATATACATAGAACTGTATGTAACTCTATATATATTATGGAAAGTATAATAATAAATATATATAGTAAATATAAATATCATAGTAAATATTATAGTACTTTAGTAAAAAAATATAATAATATACAATACAATAGTTATTATGTATAAACAGAGGCCTATAATATAGATGTTAAGCTTTACAAAAAACTAGTTGAAAGATTTGTTTAAGTTTGTAGTCATTAAAATAAAAATGTTACATTAAAAAAAAATTTTCAAATAATAGAACTACCAAGCCCATGTAAAACAAAATTCTAATTTATTAACGGCCAATTACTTTTCAAAAATAAGTAAGTAAACAGTGTTCTTGATTAAAGCAGGCCCTCCCCTATTAGGAGCGCATTTAAATTACCTAGAATCACAATACTTTAAATTGGACGGTATCCGCCAGTAGTGGGTATTTCAAAATATCACCTTCAAAAATTCCGAAATTCCAATTTAATCATCAACATAGCAAAACTGGCACGGGATCTTTAGCGTCATGCCAAAAAATGGATAACAAAAAATTCTACAAAAATTCGTCCGCCAAGAATCCTGACTATCAAATTATACTATTGAATGTAATTCACATTCCATGTTAGAAAATGCACCAAGCTGCCATTATTCCACTGCTATGGACATGGGTCATTAAATTCTGACTTGTAGGCCTAACTACG